GATTATGTTAATCTTTTCTCCGCTAAAACCTAGTAATTGGATGAGTTGTGTGAGGGATCTTCTCTTAGCGACTAATCTTATTGTTAGTATTGGAATCTATTGTTGGAACTATCCATGTATGCAATGTTGGATTAAGCTGGCTATCTTTTGAACTTAACTTCTATGCATGTGAGTTAACCTAAGCTAGGTACTACTTTAATATTTATCTTATCGTTCAATTCCGCATAAGATCTTGCTTATTATTGCCTCTAAATCTAAATGTGCAAACTTCTTTAAGCAAATCACTTTCGCATGGATTTGTATCACATCATAAATTTGTGAATAAGTAGATGTGGGCATTGTATCAGCATGACAGGGAAATTTTGTGAAATAAGTACACATGCACATTATTTCTCGTTGTCGTGCCATCATTTCCTATCTTATGCTAAGGTATTATTCGAAAATCTCAAAATTTTGTACTTGTTCGTGTTGTTCCATTGCAGTGGGAAATTTGTGAAATAAGTATGTGCACATTTTTCCAACGTGATGGGAAAATTTGTGAGATAAGTACATGTGGGTGTTGTCCCAAAGCGATGGGAAATTTTTAGTTTTACTCGTGCAAGTGATGAAGTCATATACATGCTTTTTTAAGCGCGGTGGAGTAGAAGATCTCTCATTTGCAGTGTCGCATGATATTGACCATCACCCTTTTTTAAGTATGCTGTGAAGGTCTAGCACTCCCAATGATGCTCAGTTTGTGGTAGAGATATCAATAAGCTGTTAAATTTCAAGTTGAAATGACTCATTGGGAACAAAACACTAATAACTCATTAAAGAAGACATACACTCACAATAATAGGACAATTGCCACAAAATGAGAATGAGCACCAGGCTGAAAAGGGACCTATTGGGGACTTGTGATTAACGAATTTGCTTGCCTATGGGTGTGAACAAAACCTCTCTATCGGTCTCCTAGAGGAAATTCTGTCCAATGCCACTAAATATTAAATACAAAAGGCAAAATATCATCTTATAATACACTTAAAGATTATTAATCGTCTTCCACGCCATTGAATCTGCAACAAACACATGTAAGCAAACATCATGTATATATTAAACTTCAAAAAGAAGCTTTGTGTTCGTTTAAACAACAAATACCAATGCAAGCTATCAAATACATATATTTTAAGATCTCGCACACATCAAATTATGATTATAAAATTTCGGTGTGCCCCTTTGCGAAGCATTCACTTATTTCGAGAAGATTGCCATTTTCTTGAGAAACTTGCAATTACTTTATGGAGTACATAACCATTTCAAAAGCAAAAAAATGCAACAAGCAAAGTTCATTGAAAAGCTTGTGAATATGCTATGTAAATGTATAAAAAACATGCAAATGCATCGTGTGTAGATGCACTGAAAAGTATGCATTTAAAATAAAAATTAAAGTTCTCTGCACGTGCTCTGTTAATTGTGATAAAAATTCGAATACTAAGTTTGAAAATGTTGCACGAGGTTAAAAATAAGTTGAATAAAAATACATTTTTTGAACAAAAATATATTCTTTTGAATTAAAATTCCTGTATGTGTCATGAAAAACTTGTTAAACCCTTGAATATAAAGTCTTAGAATACTAAGTGGGTTTAAATGCAAGCTGAACTAAAATATTTCTTTTAAATTGAAATATCTATATGTACTCCGACTAATATGCTAATTATTCAAGCACAAAGTTTGAGAATGTTTCGTGGGTCAAGAATAACTTCAATTAATCGCTTCTCGCTTTGAAGGCAATCACTCTACAAAGCTTTTGCAATCACTTTAAATTTGCAAAGTTCTTTAAAAAAAATTCATGTTCACTTATATGCATTTTGAACGATACACTGTACTCCTAAATTTGAGGTCTTAGAAAACAGCGCTGGTTAAAAATGAAATGAGTGCAATTAGACTCGATCCTCTGCAAGCAAGCTAACAGAGTCGGTTATGTCAAAATAACAAAATGAAAATATTCAGATACTCCGATGATGACTGCGTTAATAAAAAATATCAACTAGAGGGGATCTTACTCTCAAAATGCTCTCGCTACCAAATTTTAAAGATAATAATTCAGGGCTTAAACATTAATGAAATTTAAAAATTCAATACTTGTAAAATCTAAAATGATATTCCAATTGAAGTCCAGCCCTTATGTCTTAATGTAAAATCCACCCACTCTTCACGATCTATTGTCGAGTGTGATAAATTTAATAATAATTTTTGTTCATAAAAGACAACGTCTTGTTAAGCATATTGCTACAATTCATTCTCAAATGATCTCTCGCTAGTAAGGATGTTGCATATATCATCTAACCGTTTGTTTTTTTTTACCAAATTGCATTAGAGACAAATGGTTATTGATCAGTGCTCGTGAATTGGGTGCATTTGCCGTGTAATGATACTATTAAATTTTTGTCACGACCAGAGTCTGCATGTTTCCCAATAGCTAAAAATTCTTGAGCAATAAATCAAATGACATTTGATCAGGCACAAAGTCCTCTATTAATTAAGGTTGATTTTAATTTGTCTCTTTAGACAAACATCCATTTCATGTGTAAGAGATACCATTTGACGAATCAACCATGGTTGCTGATATTGATCCTTGAGCCAGGTTGGATCAATTATGTTATTTGATTAAGTAAAATAAGGATCATGACAACCCGGGATGATGAAAGCCGTAATGTTTTGATTGGGTTAGTCATCATTCCTCCACCATCCGTTTTAAGTGTTGGATGGTAAATTTTAAATCTCAATATCAAGTTTGTTGCTATTATACTCTTGATATTTAATGCCTATCTAATGATTTGCCTTAATTAAAAGTTTTTTCTTGCCTCCAGGAAGGGTAATTCTCATGGGGGCTTGCTTTTATGAGAAATCTGTAACTAGATTATAAGGTCCTCATAAAATAAGGGTGAAATCCTTGAATAATATCTTATCTTAAATCTAAAAAGACTTCTGAAAATTGACCTGAAACGCCTCTTTAAACTCTCATAGTGAGAGGCCGGGGGAACGAATTTACAGAGCCGACCACACTAATTATATTTCTTTATACAAATTTTGCTTGTAGCTTTATTTCAATTTGTAAGTTTCAACTACTTGTCTAGCATGTGGTACTTGGATTTAATGCGGCCTGAAATGGTATTTATTGTACTTTATGCCCAATCATTTTGGGTATTATATCAAGAGAGTCCATTCTCCTTTCATAGGTTATTTGTCCTGTGCTCGTCCAGTTCAGAATTTTGTTGAGAACATGAAGTAAATCACAAGCACTAGTGTTAAAGAACAAATAGTTTCATAAAGGCCAACTTAATCTTCTTTCCTAAAACGGGAGTCCATGGGGAACCCACTAACTCTATCCATCGTCATTCATATATATATTTACCAGTACAATTAGGTGAGGCTGCATATCTCTGAGATGAGGACCATCACTAAGCTTTTCCCTAAGTGAGGAGAGCCTTGCAGCAAGGTGCCAGACACTGAGCCAAGCCACTTGCTTTGATTAGAAATATGTCAAATAAAAATGATAATTTTTTAATGGTGAAAAATTTAGTTGGGGTGATGTAAAAAGAGCATAAACAATTGGAGAAATAATGATGCATTGTTTGAGGATTTCTATTTCAGGAAACATTAAATGTTTCTATATTCACATCCTTTCAGATGGTTTCATTCACAAAAGACCCTTATGAAAATTCCTTAGTGAAAAGGAGAGGGTGTAGTTTAATGATAGTGCAAGAGGCTAATTGATTACTATTTGAAGGTTCAAGTACTTGCATTTTATGTTCAGGAGTATTATGGACTTTCACTAAATGATTTTTGTTTCAAAGTCCTACTTTGACCTAGGAAACTCATGTGATCTAGTGGCTCTCAACAAGGTAGAAAAAATTGTTCAAGAGGTAGTTTTTCTCTCCTCATTAGACTTTTCTTTTCTTTTTTTTTTTCTTTCCATTTGGCATTTGGTGATATGGATGCATTTAGCTCAAAAATAGTTTGAAAATTTGATTAGTTTTTTGACTTGATTGAGCTAAGATTGAAGTCAACAAGCTAGGGGTGTAAATGCGTTGGAGCCGAGCTCGAGTCACCCCTTGCTTGAGCTTGATTAATTAATCGAGTTCAAGCTTGAGCTCGAGCTTTATTCTATGAGTTTGAGTTGGCTCATGAGATGACTCATTTATTTTGAAGAAGAAAAATGATTATTTCAAATTTTTAATAAAAAGGTTAAAAAAAGAGAAATTACATGAAGAGTAATAAATTATTACTTATTATAAGAAAGTGAGATATAATTTTTAAATTTTTTTAATAACTTTGTACTAAAAATCCTTAATGCTAATATATTTAAGTGTATTTTATATTGATATTTTTTAAATGAGCCGGCTCGCGAGCTAACGAGTCGAGTTAGGGCTGGCCTAAGTTTGGCTCATTAGCTTATTGAGCTTAGCTCACTAGCCATTTATGGAGTCGAAGCTGAGCCAACTCACGAGTCGGCTTGACTCACACCCATACAACGAGCTATCTAACGAGCAAAATCCGACTTAGATGGATCTTGGATTGAGCTGAGCCTAGATTGGATTGAACTACTATGTCTATCACTTTATCTTACCATTCCATCATTAATTTTATCTGTGAATAACTATTTGAATTAATATTTAACTATCACATGTATATCATTTTTTTAAAAGTTAAATTCAACTTTAAAACTATTAGTTATTTATTTATGAAACGATGTATTAACTATTTTAATATATATATATATAATAATATGTAATTTTTCTTTAACTTTTAATTATACTTTATTTCTATTTTAATACTTTTTTTTTCTAATCTTTAATCATTTTAACTAAAGTCAAGTCCTTGCAAGGCAACTTATAATTTCATTGTTTTTATTTCTACCATCCGCTACAATGGAGGGGGATCTATTATATCTATAAAACCATGTTATTAAATCTTAATATGAAAACTGTCACCATTTCTTCTATGTTTAAACCTTGCAGGTTGGTTGGATTGCCCTCCATTTGGTCAGTGCTTAGAAGGAAGTATTGTTCCTTCAAAAGTTCCTTTGGATGAAACCTATAATGATGCAGTTATTCCTGGAAGAAGATATTCTTCAAAGCAAGTGATTAACGGCCAAAGAAGATTTGGTCGTGAAGTTAGTATACCAAATAATTTCACTTATTTTTGATGGTTTTCTTTGGCTAAGGACAGATGGATATTGTTTCTGCTGTGGTTTTCATGAAAATAAGTTTTGCATGTTTCTGTAAGCAACACTTTACATTTGAGGTATGATTTAGTTGTTAGGTGGTCCGTAGGTAGAATGATTTTATACTGCCATGTGTAGCATTGTGTTTTATTGCTACATATAGTTGGTTTTCCCTCCTATATTCGTGATCATTAAGATTTCCTTTAATGATTAAGAGGAGAAGATCAGCGTTAGGTTTGATTTTGGTTCCTAAATTGTTCAACTATCATAATTTGTCACTATCCCCATTTTCTATTCTTTGAGAAATACCAATAGAAGTTTTATGTTTTTGTGCTGACAGTCACTGAACTGTACTAATTTCTGCTTTTCAAATCCTTGAAGTTCGTTGTCTCATACTTCTCAAAGAAGAATCTTGCACTTTTCTGTCTTTTAGCCCAAGAAAAGTTTATGTTAAAATGTGCCTATTATTTTATTCTTAGGAAGGTTTCTTTCTTTTAGATTTGGTATAATTAGTCATCATTATTGTCAATGTCTCATCAATTTCATGATGTTCATCCCATAATAATATTTTAAATCGCCTTTGAAAAAAATATGAAAATAATATGTGATGAATTAGCTTGCAATTTAATTTATGAATGAGGTTTTTAGCATTTGAACCTTTTGAAAAGAACACTCAGATAAGTAGTGGCTTTTACTCTTTCCAGGCTTATGTTTTTTTGGTTATGTGCATGCCATTCATGCTGAAGGACATGACCAAGAATTGAATGTGGTTAACCTGTTTAGTTTATGCACAAATGCTCAAGTTTCTTTGAATTGGTTGAAGTTCTGAGAAATAAAATCATCATTTTATATGATCAGTTCACATGCATGGCTATAAAATTGGTATTAATTATTTACATATTAGAACATAAAGTTATGAATCAGTGTTACATGAAAAATATGCCGTGAATGGAAAAACATGGCTAGTCCTGTAATAATATATGCTTTTGATGTATTAACCTTGTTTTGTAATGCATTCGAAAGTGTAATGTTTGTGCATTTAAAAAATTTCAGTACAAGTTTTAACTGCTGACCATGAAACAAATTACATTTCTTGCATTGGGTTTTGGACATCTGTAATTATAACCGAGAAAACAGCTAATATACCAAGTGATCTTATATGTTAGATTTACAGATCTAATTAAATATTATATTTAATCATCGCAAATGACTAGGATACAAAAACATATTTGGATTGCGTTTCTATTACTTGGAAGACATGATTTCTTTTCCCAAGATTTTTTCAATCATAAATTGTTAGGTCTACAGGTCTACATTTTTTGGCTTTATAAATGGTACCGTACGTTAATAAGACTTCCAAGTGGCTTTTTGTAGCTGTACAGTGTTGATATGTGGTCTTTGTCGCAGCTGTTGTTTCACAGAAAAGTTAAGTAGATCTATTTTCCATTTATTTGAAAGTTTCAAAAGTAATGCGCCATGGTACTGTTTAGTTTAAATATTTCTTCACGAGGAACTGACTTTGGAGTTCTAGTATATGAGAATGGTGTATGTCTACATCTTCTCTTGTGAAAAATATCTATTTTTGTTGAGCTTAATATGAAAGCACGTGCAACAGGTGCTCATGAAGTGAAATTTTTTATGTTCTTTTAGACGTGTATAATTCTCAAGTTTTAAGTCAATTTGTTTTTTGTCCTTTCTAAATATCAGTTGATGAAAACATTCCCACTTATTTTTTAAACAAATTGTGATGCAGTGCATGTGATCTACCTCGGTCCTTATTATGAATCCTTAGGGGTTTTAGTATGATTTAATGTGTTAGGTCATCATCTTTATTTAATATTAAGTTGCTTTATACAGGTTATAGTTGCTTTAGTTGCGTTTGTCATTTACGAGTTGTTTTGTATTTTTCTATTTTGCAAGGGTAGTTTTTATTTTTTTATTTTTATTTTATTCCTTTATTTAATCTACTACCTAGCAAGGTTTTAAAAATCGGACCAGACCAGCCAGTTTGACTGGTTGAACCATGAACCAATCACAAGGTTGGTCCAGTCCACTTTGCAAGTAGCTTATGCATCAAACTAGACTGAACCACATTGAACCGGTGAATTGGTGAACTAGTCGGAACCGACCGGTTCAATTGCCACATTATTTAAATAAATAAATTTATTTTATTACATATTAAATATTAAATAATATTCGTAATTAAATAAATTATTTAATTTTAAATTTGCATGAAATTCTTAATATATTTATTTGTCCAAAAGTATCATGAAGCATCTTCACATGGCCCCATCATTCCATGCGAGTTCTTAACACATGAAAACCCAACAAGCTAAATAAACAACAACAATAAAAAGTTTCCAAATGATGTGGGATTAAATAAATGAGTTGGGGTTTATAAAGCTCACAACATATTTATTAATATTTTTAAACACATTTTTTAATTAATTATTATAATGTGAATTATATTTATTTTTAGTTAATAATAATAATTTATTTATACACTGTAAAAATATTATTTATTTATTTATTAATGATTAATTATTTAACATAAATAATTTTTAGATGCAAATTTATAAAATAAATTTGGTATATAACCTATCGATATAAAATATATTTAAACATATAACATAAATTAATAATGATTTATATGTGAATTAAATTTATGTTAAATGTGAATCAAATTTAAAAATGAAATATGATTAAATTTAAAATTATAAAAACTATTGTTTATGCATGATTTTTTTTTTAATTTTTTGGTCACAAATTTACATTATTGCAATGATTATTATAACCCTCATTATTTCATTTAAATAAAATTTAAATAATTGTTTATATTTATTACATCATCCGGTTCAACTCCGGCGAACCATTGAACCTTGAACCTCTCCTTGTTCCGGTTTAATGTCTGGTCTAGGTTTCACAACCTTGCTACGTAGCATCATGTAATTCAAATGTTTATTATAGAAAATAAAGTTTTCTGGCATCTTCATTCAGGATTGAATGCTCTTTTCTTTTATCATAGGATTCTATCTCAATTCGTTTTTTAATCCTGTATATCTCCTGCCTCACCACGTTTGGGGTATCCATTCTTGTAATTTTCTCAATTTCCTTATTCTTTTCGTCTCCTTGTTTATTCCTTTACGTTGGTCTATTTTTTTTATCCATAATCGAAATATCAAGAATCCAGTACAATATCCACTTTTGGTGCAGTGGACAAAGTATCTTCTTTAATTTTCATATCAAAGGAGGGACATTTTCAACCTAGATGACAATCTTTTCTTTTAACCTCAGCTATGATGGCTAACAAACGGATTTATTTGGTTTGCATAAAAGAGTCAATATTTGTTAGGTCCTTTATGAAACATAGCTTTTAAATTCTTAACTAGTCAAAGCAATCTAATGGATAAAAAAGGACAATCTTACTAATGATTAATTGTTTGTTTCTATCAAACCATCTTCATATGATATAAGTTTTTTGTAAACAAGCTATATAATCATAATATAAAAATGGTTACAACTTTAAGAACAATAAAATTGAGACAGGAAATTTAGAATGTTATTTGGTTTTCATAAAGATTGTCACATATGTTAGAAAAAACATACAACCATGTTTCAAGTATACTGGACTAAAAAATGTGATATTATTATGAAGAAAAAAAATTCTTAAGTGCTCTTCTATTAGCTTACAAAATATATTTGAATTCATAAAAATATGAAGAATATTTGATTAGGAATTGCTTTTAAGAGATTTTAAAGCAGGGTTGCGTCTTGATTTAAGCGTAAAAAAATTTATGGGTTGGTTCTAGATCTAGAATATAACCAAGGTGCTCCAATAGATACAGGATTAATGATGCCTTGAGATTTCTCTTCCTCGAGGCTAATGACATATCATGGAATTCCCTTTTAAATTTTGAACTCTTTTTTTCCTTGTGGACTTAAAGCCTCAACTTCTAAGACTAGTTTATACCGTAGGGCTTGCTATTTTATGGAAATGACTGGGCATGATGGAAGATGCTGTGTTTTTTCATGAAATTTCTTGTCCAAATTTGTTGCAGGATTAGAAGTTCATTCATGAAACATGGAGAAATGATACGAAGGTTATCAAACATTCCATTTCTCTTATAAAATTATGCTGTTGTAAGAGCAATCAATTTAAGGAAGCAACGATATAGTAAGTGTATGTATAAATAGAACGAAAATGTAGGAAGCAATAATATTTGAACCAGTGTTATGAAAGGAGAATGCTATGGTTGATATATAGCAAAATTAGGAAGGATAAATTGAGGAATAATTAAGAATGACTTTTATTGAAGATATGGTGCATGTGCATGTACACCTAAGGGTCGAAATGTTCATATCAGACAATAGATAAAATTAGCGTTTAAGGATTTTGAAATAGGTAAAGCTGAGTTATGGAAGTTGTTCAAATTGATTTGCAATGAATATGTTTAACATCTCACGCATCACTTGGCACGAACAAATTAAAAATGACGATTGATAAAGCCAAACACAAATAATTGAAATGAGGCTAATGATGATGGTGATAGAATGAGCAGCGGTAAATTATGTTAGAAAAAAAACAAAACTACATATTTGTTTGGTATGTCTATGATATTATATATTGAATGTTGAACATATTTTAAAGATCTAAAAATGGTTTTTGATAAATATTTTATTATTATTATTTTTAAAAGATGTTGGGTAGAAAATTAAAAAAATGATGAAAAAATTCATGCCATTTGCTCAGAAATGTTAAGAGTTAACATCTTTCTTTTTATAGAACTTGTAAAAGGTTTGTCATGTTTAATAATTTATTTGTATTATTTTATTTATCAGCCAGAAAGATTGTTGACATCTGAATAGAAGTTCAGAATAAGTTGATTTGATTTTTTTGCTTGACCAAATTTCAATTCTTTTTTATATTGTAGCAATTTTCTTTTAGCATGTTCGTTTAGAGCTGAGGGGAACAAGAGGAAGAGTAAGGAGTAGAGAAAGCAAAGTTGTCAGTTGGACTTTGATTGACCCTGCCCAACTTCATCCATATGCAAGAACCTCAAGTTATAGCAGTTTAGGAGCCTATAATAAATTGGTTGCTAAACTTTAATAAAACACAGAATTTTGTAATGTCCTTCAGAAAATCCATAAATAATTTGAAAACTCAACTTATGTAATTGAGACAATTAATGCTAAGCATGTCCTATGAATTTATTCATTTGATTCGTTGGGAATTTATTCATTCTAGAACAAATTACCCAGAAGACTCCGAAGACTTTTGGCCCTCTGATATGAATTAGGGAAATTGTTACTTAAAAAGTAATACTTTTGACCTCTTGATGTGGTCCTTATCTGAGGCATAAATCCTTTGAAAACCTTAAAAATACTAGTTTGACAATAAATGCTTAGAATTTTTATAGAACTTGTCAGTGTGATTCTTAGTTTTACAGTCCTCCGAAAGCTTGAAAACATTATCTAGGGGATCGCCATTTGAGTTTTAACCCTTTTGGTATACCGTGCAGAAAGGACTTAATGATTTTGATAATTCTTTATTTTCAGATCCTCCGTTTTCAATAAATTTTGTTGAAATTTGGTTTTTTTTTTAGTGTTGAAAATTCAGTGGCACTGAATAATAATTTGCTTGACCGGTAACATGAATTTGTTTGGCTCTAACATTTTTGGTTTCAATGGAAAAATATGAATTATCTCCTTGTTCCTTCACATTTGAAAGCTCAAGTACACATGGCTGCTATTATACTTGTAGAAGTACAGAGATTCTACGTGAAATGCATTTCTATGTTGATACTCTTCCGTGTGCATGGAATTTTGTCAAAACTGATTAAAATTAATCATATTATCTGAAGCTTGACTTCTTGACAGCTTGGTTTGGTCGTGGATTTGACAAATACAACCCGATATTATTCTCCATTAGAATATACAAAGCTGGGCATTAAGTATATTAAGGTGAGAGAAAACGGGGTTTTTTTATTCTATTGATAATTTTCTCATTTTTAGGCAATAGTCGGCTTTAAAGATTAACCATTACAGATTGCATGCAAGGGACGTGATGCTGTGCCAGATAACGAGTCTGTGAATAAATTTGTTTATGAGGTAACTTTTGTTGAGTTTTAGTCAGCATATTTGGAACACATTCATGCTAAACTTCTGAAGCTTGATTGCACTTTTGTGTTGTATGTTATCTTTTACCTTTATATGCTGATGGAATCTAGTTGTCCTTTATGGATTTTTGTACTGGGAGTTATGGAGCTGTGCATCTTAACGATAATAATAAATTTTGACACTTAATCAACATAGTGAACTTGAGAGAAAAATGTTTGATCTCTTGCAAAAATTAGAGAAATATTTGTTGTTTTTAACAATGAAATTTTAGAACTAGTCAGTGAAGAAGTATTACATCAGATTACTATTAAGAAAGAAAAAGAAAATACATCAAATTAAGTTAATATAAAGCATAGAGAGTAATGTCAATTGTAGAATGGATCAAGAAAATACATCAAATTAAGTTAATATAAAGCATAGAGAGTAATGTCAATTGTAGAATGGATCATGAAAATATACAAACGCCATGAAAGTCTAGAACGCCAAAATTATCAGGGGAATTATTACATGTCATTTGGAATCTAATAAATCTGGGTGAATGGAGAAATACTTTCAATCAGTGCCTTGATGAGAAAAATACTAGCTGAAAATTTTTATCTGTTAAATCAACAAAAATTTTGATAGATTCGTGAGATTAAAATGAACTAGAATTATCATAACCCTCCTCTTGAAAACTATAAATTCTTGCATTGTTGATTATGCTTGTAGTATCACATGGAGAAGAAACAGTTGGAGTAGCAGTTGGATTTATAATAGGTTGACAAATGTCTTACCCAGACTTGGCTTTAGATAAATTAGAGTTCCCAACTTCCAAAACTAGTGGAAGAGGCTACCAATCAATAATGCATCAATAATAAATGAAGACACTAACACACGAGATGAATCTAGAGTAATATCTTGGTCATGAGAACACCCAATATGGAGACTTCCTTTGATCATGAGTATTTACAGTCCAGTTATTCTATGCCCATATCTTGATTATGAGTGCTAACTTCCATAGAAGAAACCTTAGAGGACGATTTCTTTAATTCCCAGTGGGCCTTGAAGCAATAGAATACGCCCTCTATTATATCTTGTTAAAGGATCTATGTGGGTTGGCTAAAGGAACTTGTGTTATTTATAGCTTTGAAACCTATAGGTGGTAAGATTGATCGATGTCCATTCCTTGCCTTGTCATATTTTTAGGTGGCTGTCAATTGCCAATTGAAGGGTTAGAATAGATTATGGGAATACATCACGTGTTTGTATGGTAGTTTTTGAGGATGAGGAGATGAAGAAGCTCCTTTTGCGCTCAAATATCATGAATCAATAGCCAACTTCCATGGGCGAAATGTTTTTAATAAAAGAGGTTTAGGAATAGTGAGTAGGCTTTTGGTAGTGGGGTCACAGTGGTAAGTGGGTTATGTTGGAGATGGGATTAAAAGTATTGGCACTGATTATATTTGTTATTCTTGAATAATGCAAAATATCTGAGTGTCAGACCCTTTTGATGGGTTTTTTGAGTTTTTTTTTGTGCATTGGTATCATGTGCACTTCTGATATTTTTCCTCTTCACTATTTGAATAGATAATACTTATAGTGTTTAAATTGGAGTATTAACATGTTTTGTTATCAATTCCTTTTAATTTTTCTATTTTCGTTTTTCTTATTATTTTTTTAGATGTATTATTATTATTTTTTATTTTATTTTATTTAGATGTATTATGTGCCGTGTTCAATTGACAGCTTGTTCTCGGTACGCTTGCTCATCTATTGATGGTTGCTATTTCATCTTTGCTTTAATTGTTTTATTCTAGGTCATGCAGTTTATTGGCCGCCAAAAGCATTCTCGTAAAGCTGTACTTGTTCATTGCACTCATGGCCATAATCGCACTGGCTTTATGATTGTCCATTATCTTATACGCACTAAATTGTGTTCTGTTACTGAGGTATGCTGTTAATTTTCAGATTTAACTATTATGTATTTATGAGCTCGGTAGTTATGTGATCAATACAACTTAGTTTCTGCCGCTGGTTTTATCCTTTGCAGGCTCTTGATCTATTTAAGGTGGCACGTCCTCCAGGAATCTATAAAAGGGATTATATAGAGGCATTGTATTCTTTTTATCATGAATGCCCTGAAAAATTGGTTTGCCCTCCCACTCCTGATTGGAAAAGATCTTCTGATCTTGATTTGAATGGCGAAGCTGTGCAGGATCAAGATGATGAGGAGGATGGTGATAATATTGGTCTTTTACATGTAAGTTTTGAATGATATGTTGTGTCTTCCTTAAAAATCTTATATTCAATTCACGGTTAAAGCATTGACTTGTTTTGTGTACTTAGTACAACGTAATAATTGGAATAGTTGGGTGGTCAAGTAGGATATGGTAGACTGCTTTTAATTGCAAACTTCATATTCTTCTCAATTATTTTTACTAGGTTATAGCTATCATATTTGTTCATGCGTTATAACTATCGTCACTTTTTATATCTATATATAACTACTTATTTACATTTGTATTTCTCCCTGAAAGCTTCGTAATTATTGCGATTTAATGCAACATAGTTTAATGCAAGTTATATAATAAGTTTGATAATAAGGAAAAATGAGATTTATAAAATAGCTAAGATATGAGATAAAAGATCTAGGTGGTCAAGTGAGATGCATTAATAGTGAAGATAATGAGATTTTGGTTAAATTTAATAACGAAGATATCAAGGAAATTTGAAAAGAAATTAATAAATGAGGACCTAAAAAAAGAACAATTTTTTAAAGCGTACAATGAACAAAATTGTGAATTATATTATAGATTGATTTAAAAAAGTGTAGTAGAGATTTCTTTGAAAAAGACATAAAAGTAAAACATGCATATGCATTACTATTGAGTTTTGCAGAGTTACGAGGAATATTGTGGTGATTTGATTAGCAAATGCTTAAAATAGAATTTTGAAGACTAATAGAATGGCAAATGATTGGAGAATTATTTTTTTATCAATATTTAAGAATAAGGTTGACCATTAAGGTTATGCTAATTACAGAGGAATTAAACTAATGAGTCAGTATAAAGTGAACTATTGTAGAGGTTAAAGCATCCTAAGCTTAGATTATTTTTTTTTGGATTTTGGAGAGTCAATGTAGTTTCGTGCAAGTAGGATCTATCATGGAAGTGATTTTTGGGTTAGAAAATTAATGAGAAAATATAGAACCAAATAAATGATTTTGATATGTTTTTTATTGATCTTAGGAAATCATTTGATCTACTACCATGACTATTGAATTGTTGTGCTTTAAGCAAGGTTTAAAATTGCGCAATTAAAAAGTTGCGTTAAGTAAAAATAAATATTAAAAGTGATTTTTTATATAATATATAAATAAGATGTTAAAGGATGATATGTTAACTTTCTATTGAATTATAAAGTAATAAATTAACATACATATCAAATAAAAAATTGCACATGACGTAAAGTGGCAAGTGATAAATTATGTGAAATAAATTAAAATCCAAATATTACAAGAGCTAAATAATATTAAATATATGACTGAAAAAAAAGTATCATATAATATTAAGTTCAACTCCAAATTCCTTTTTCAGTTCCCTATTCATCCATATTTAATTCCTAAAGAAAAATGAAATAGTTGACAAAACATAAAAATCATCTGCACTGTTGTCACTGAGGGGGTTTTTATTTGAGTCATCATAACAAATTGATCTCTACCTTGTCTCATCCTATGGAGTCTAATCCCTCCCAATTTGCTTCTTTTTCATTATTTCCGCCATCTTCCTTTTACATAAATATTTTTTATTAACATAAAGATGAGATTAATACTCTTAAAAATTTAAAGAAGGCGGCGGTGGTCTGTGGGTTTTAAGTGATCCTCGGCGACGACTATGACGGTGGCAACTCTGGAGAAAATGGAGGACTGGAGGTAAAGGCAGTCGAGAGGAAGTTGTGACGGCTTGGGGATGCATTTAATCATGATTTGTTTGGGGCTTTAATTTAGGATTTAGATAATTTTTAATAAAAATATATATGAATAGGGTGAGGCGTAAGCCTCACATCAGCGAGGCGTGGTGTGCCTAAAGGAGGGCATAAGCCAAGATGAGGTGGCAATAAAAAAAGTTTGAGGCATAAGCCTTGGTGCATTTTTCGCTGGCATTGCGCTGAGGCGAGTCTCATATTGCGTAATTTTAAACAAGAAAACGTTTGCACCAATGTTAAATATATATTGATACTATTAAAGATATTCATGATGAAATATCGACTAATATTAGAAGTATCTGTGTAGTGACTCGAGTTTTCAACCATGGTAGATTTATTTAAAGGATCAAAATATCATGTCCATATCTTTTTGTATTGGTTATAGAGATGCTTTAAAAGGATATTCAAGGCAAGGTGCCTTGGTGTATATTTTTTGTTGATGATATTATTTTTATTAGTGAGACATCCATTTAAATAAGTGGGAAATTATATTAATGGATTAAATGTTTAGAAGATAGCAGCTTGTAAGTGAGGTGAGGCGTAAGCCTCAAGTGGTTTTGAGGTGTAAGCCTCAAAATTAAAAAAATGCATAAAGTGAAAATGAAGGTTAAAAGTTAATTTTTTTTGTTAAATAATCAAATAGTATGTTAAAGAATGACATATTATCTCTTTATTAAACTATGAAGTAGCAGTTTGACATGCAAATGAAGAACAAATTGCATAAGGCATAAATTGACAATCGATAAATTGCATTAAATAGAGTTAAATTACAAACATGACTAGCAAAATTACAAAACAACATAAAAATATGATCTACATAGAAGTATCATATTACTCTAAGTCATGAAGTTCAACTCCAAATTCCTTTTTTCCCAGATCCCTATTCATCCACATTTCATTCTTTAAAAAAACATAATAGTATGAAAATTTAGAAGTCATTTGTGCTGTCATTATTGAGGGGATCTTTATTTGAGTCATCATTGTAACAAATTGTTGTCTCCCCTGCCTCTATCACTTGTGGAGTCCAATGCCTCCAATTTAATTCTATTTCATCTATTTCAGTCATCTTCTTCTTCCATAATTATTTTTCATCAATATAAATATGAGCAGAGTACTTCAATGTAAATAAGCTTTAACAAAATAAAATTCTTTTTATATATCTTTTTTGTTTAGTTCTTTCCATGGTTGGATTGTGGTGGATGCAATGCTCAATTTTATCACCATCAATGATATTAACGTTTAAATATTTTTCTCATAATTCATATGGTATTATATCCACTTTATTATCTTCAAATCACTCATCATCTGATGCCATGTCCTCATAAATCAAATGGTCTTCGTCATTCTTCAACACTTTCTTTTTCAGGTTCATGTATTTAAGTCTCTTGTTGTACATGATGTACACTAAATAATTCATCCTTTGGGTTGCCAGCCGATTTCTCCTCTTCATGTGCACTTGACGTGCTCTAGTGCATTCACGTCCAGGTGAAGAGCATATTAATTCCAAAACCTTTACAATGAAATATTACAATTTTGAAATGTTGTCATTAAATTGTATTCTCCACTCAATTGAGGTTTAAATAAATGAGTATAATAAGTAGAATGAATCATGTTGATATATAAATTTTTATTGTACATTAAATCAATGAATCAAATTACCTGGAGATTGCTTGGAAATAGTGTCCTTCGCATGTTGAAATCCAAAAAAGCCTCCGTTATTCCTGAAAGGTACCAATTATATGTCAGCATTTGCTCTCTCATATGAATCAATTATAAGCCTCTCCATGCTTTGGTATAATGCTATTTTCATCTTATGATTCTCTAACTTATTTTCTACATACTGAAAGTTCAGATAATAGCCTGTTGTTTGCAAGTGCTGATGAAGCTGTAGCTCCCATCATTCATTAATAATATTCCTAAATTCCATTTTGCTGCCCTCTTCTTCTTCTGAGTTATGGGAAATCATCTATTTTGCTTCATCCATAACATTATATTTAAAATCCATAGCATAATTCTTCTCAGCATCTACTATCCTCAAAATATGCACCAGTGGCCTAGTGGTTGAAATATTATACATCACACTTTGTCAAAATCTATCATTTAAAATAATTTTTTTAACTTCTTTCCCCTCATATTTTCTTGCCCAAGCATAACTCAGCCACTTTGGTGTGGCAAACATAGCTTCTAAAGGCTTCCTCTCCTCCAACATGCTTTGCAAGGTCAAATAGGCAGTGACAAACCTTGTTCCTGCGTGCTTCTCATAAGTGCCAAAACTCAAGAATGGTTTTCTATAAATTTACTTATCTTTTTTATTTTTGTTAGTGTATTCTTATGTTGTGACAACTCCCCAAGTTTCTCATGGATTAAGTCAATACAATGTGCAGCACAATGAGTCTAATATAAATGTTTTTTTTCCTCCATGAGTTTTTCCTTTGCAACTTATAAGCACCGACATTATCTGTTGTTACCTAAACCACCTAGTGCTCCCCAATCTCTTGAATGACACCATCAAGCATTCTGAAAAGAAAGTCAACATCTTTTATTTGATCAGATGCATTAATGAACTTCAAGAACACTGTGTCGTAAGGGTTATTGATCAAGCTTTTTCTTTTTATATCTGACCATCTATCAGACATGATAGGAACCTCTATCTGGCTCTAAATTTTCTTAATTTACTCAATACTTTTCTCGGTGTTTGCCATTTCGTTTAAAATACATGTCTTCAAATCATATATGGATGGAGGTCTCAACCCTCGCCCATAGACTCCAATTGAATGGATCATGTTGTAGTAAGAAGGGGATATTGCAGCGTTAAATGGGATAGCATTGTAATTGTTATGTACTAATCCATGGGACCTCTTGCAGCCATTGAGGACATGTGTTGCAATGAAAAAGATGAATCCTGATCACTATGCTCGCTTCCATAGCATGAGCCATTGTCAATTCTATCATCAAATTGTTTGTGTTATGTGCTTTGTCATTGTTGACTTATTCATGTATGCTTTAATGTTCCCCTTTACGATATGAGGCACTTTGGCTTAAGGTACGATATTCTTGTGTGATCTTGATAGGTGCTCGTTCATCCAAATGACACCACCCTTCACCACCTTCTCACAATAATTAATTACATTTCAAATACATATACATCTTGTTGTTGCCTCCCACATCAACTTGATAGCTACATTTTCACGCAGAGTCCTTCCTATAACCCGATGTATTTTTGCTTTGTCTCGAACCATTTTCTACAGAACTCTACAATAACAAGTTGAGAAAAAT